ATTATTACATAATAATGATCATCTTGTAACTCCATTTTGGTCTTCAGTCTATATAGCAATATTCATTTTATGTCTGTCTGGTGAATTTGGGGTTAAACATGTTTGTTCTTCATTCAGTGAAGCAACTAGAGTTGGACAGAGAGTAGTATTATTTCAAGAAACATTACTTATGTAGAACTTAAATATGATGCATTAAAGCTACCCCTAGAAGTACATTGTTTTCAAAAGGTTACTCAAGTAAATCCAGTTCTACCCCCTTTACCATCTTTGACTGATATTAAAATTAGCTCAATGATCTGACACCTTTTTTAAAAACCTTGTCAATGCAAAGTTGTATTAAGCATGTCATAAATCCACATCAATAATTCTTCCACAATGGAGGTCTTGTAACACTAAAGAATCTCATTTCCATTATCTCCTGCCATGGAATAAAATAATAAACAATCATGTACCACAAAAAAGAAAAAAAAAGTAAAGCTTGCACGAGGAAAAGCTTGCACATGAGGAGTTACTTCCTTGACAGATTATCAGTCAGATATCAAAGTGGCCAAATCCGTCTTTCCTGACACCCTGGAGCTGGGGCCATCTGGATCGGCCATTTTCTGGTCATTAACCACGCTCACATCTCCAGGATGTTCGATTTCTTGCTCTCTCGGTGCAAATGAAGCTGGCTAACTCAGTCTTTACAGCCTTCGCCTCTTTGTTTGCTAAATTCTGTCTGTTGCGTGGTGCAGGAGAGACGCCGCTTTTGGAAATGGACCGCGATAAAAGGCATCTTGATCTGGGCACCATACAGCATGACGGCGTGAGCTGCAAAACTGCAAAAGCTGAACTTCAATAAACATACTCTCTCTCTCGCATACATAAGGGAAAGTGTGAAGGATGATCACAATGACTACCACGACGAGGTGTTGCATCTGCGGGGACCTGCTAACGATGAAGGCAGTCACATCTCTAACGGGACTAATTGGGATTCAGAGAAATCGAATGTAATGATAGATGGAAAAGGACGGCGACTCAGCGGTGCCTGAAACTGCTGGCAAAAGATCAGAGGCGTGAATAGAGTTGAACCTTTCACTCAGGCCTCAAAGTCATCTGTTGCCAGCAGGCAACTTTGCTTTAGCATTACAAGCTTAGATTCAAGCATAATTTTCTTGTTTTTTTTTTGTGTGTGTGTGTGTGGCAGTTTTAAGCAATATATATGTTTGCTGGCCAGTTTAGACTGTCAACATATCCCCTGTTAGGAGGTGAAAAATGGGTGCGCCACACAGCGCAGCAGATGGCAGGAATGGATCATCGGTCTGAAACAGGAGACGAGTGATGTATGGATTCCCCCAGAGGAAACACTTTCAGAGTATGAGCCACACTGGGAAGACACTTTGCTCACAAACCAGCGGTTTTGTGTCCATGCTATGCACTAAAAGAAATATAGACATATTCAAGCTGTTCACCATTTGAGACTTAAATTACCTTGTAAAATAAAAAAAAGGCATCCAGAAGTTGAATCACTCAAACAACAAATATTAGTACATTCCACCTAATTTGCAGGGTTTTGCAGCTCCTCCACAGTTACCGTAGGTCACTTCCAGGTGCAACTCAAAAAATAACAATAATAATAATAATAATTGGACTGTTGTCTAAAAAGCTCAAAACTCATTAATAGCTTTGTTTCATAGAGTGAAATATTTCAAGCACTTATTTCTTCAGCTTTTGATAAATCTATTTGTCGTGGGTTTTGTTGTGCTGATTACAGACTCAGTGCACTTCTTATGAATCCACCCAAAAATATCCAATGGATTTTGCTTGAAAATCTTCTCAAATCTGCAATTATCTTCGTTGTCAGTGACAAAAATATTGAGCTATTTCAGAATATTATATTTTCTTTAGATGCCTCTTTGACCAATGCTTTAATTTTTATGGACGGAGTTTTATAGATAAGTGCAAGTGAAATAAGCTTATTACCAACACGTCTTTTTTTCACAGGAGCAGCAGATGGCATGAAATGAGGGGTGTGAAAAATATAAAAATGATCACCGCAAACAAACATTGCTAAATTTAATACTTTAGGAATGCTTGCAGGAAAATAATAAAGTTGTGAAAAAAGCAGTATCTGTATCATTGGAATGAAAACTTTAAACTTGAACTCGCAACAAAAATGAAAACTTAACTCTTAGCTGAAAAGTTTATATATGCTTTCCCTACCTTTTCAGGGTGATGTTAAAAACTTTGAAACTTGACAATTCACTGTTCTTTCTCTACCAGTCTAGTGCATTTAGACCTAGTATTTTTGCAGAATAACAGATGAATCTTTTGTGTCAAGCTAATATCCACTGGGTGGTAATTAAAGGAATGTTACTTTGAACAAACTAAGCAGATTGAGAGAAGGTGGATCTTCTCTATTGCTTTGTCGTGGACCCCTTTCTTGTTTTGGCTAAACCTGCAGAAGGTAACTTTTATTTTGAAGTTAATTTTGGGAGCACTAAATTACTTTAAAGAAGGCTTAACACAATAAAGGGAGCTGTAGTCGTAGATTTACTTTATGGATCTTGCATAATAATTCAAATTAAAATGTAATAAAAAGCCCCCCTTAAAATTCTGACTAACATGCTTTTTCTTTTTTTTTTTACGTTGCTGTCATTTATGTTCTTAATGAATGATGGATGAGGTCAGCTGGTGCAACAGAAGCAAAAAAAAAAAAAAAAAAACTAGAAGTAAATTTTTTTTTGTCTTACCTTTTAATAAACTCTTTAACCATAATTGAACCAATCAGTGCACGCGGGGTCTATAAGAAAGTTTTGCTAATTGCAGTTGTGCTCTCCAAAATTCTGCAGAGGCCATCCAATCTCTGGCTCATTCTTAATGTTACAGCATACACTCTAAGCCAAAGTGATAACCAATTATTTGGTAAAATGGATTCAGGCTATCACATTGCTGTGGGAATTTTAATTTGTCCCTATATGTGAAACCTTAGAATTTAAATAAGATGTACTATTTATTTGACATGCCTCAATACGTGTTAATTGACATTTTTCTGTTTCAATATTTCACTCGGAAACACACGTGGCAATGTGTCCTCCAAACAGCCACACACAAGTGAAGCACTGAAAGGAGGCAACATTAAATGGAAGAAGCAGCAAAGTTAGAGGGACAAACATCACATTATCCAGACAAAATTCAACACCGAAAAGATGGCGTGTCACCTCATGTCAAGTTCATCTCTTTGAAAGCTAACCCTTCCCAGTCAAACTGAGCGCACGGTAAAAAAAAACCAAATAGAAATAAATTTTAAAAAAAAAGAGTTTAAAAAGTTGCAAATTAGAAAAAAAAAGTAAACAGCAAAAACAGAGCAGAGTCCTTTTGTGATGATGAAGGCATTTCAATATGACATGCAACCACCAGTGCGTGCCATGAATAAATCATACTGAACCGGGCAGAAAGAGTAAACAGTTATGCATCTTCACCTCAGATGCCTGGAGAGGCCTGTCAGACAAAGAAGTTAACAAAGTCTACCTCCTCATCAGCATGCAAAGCACATTTCAGTAAACCAAAGTCCAATCCTGACACCGTACTCAAAACCTTCTCCACTGTTTCCCCAAAGATCTCACACTTTCAACAGGCAAGTCAAAGCAAGGCAACACTGCAGTTCGTTTTTACCCTGTGTCTGCTTCACTCTGATGTATTTAAAGAGCACCAAGCTTGCCTCTGTAACTTACACAGCCAGAGCTCAAGGTTTCGCTGCCAATTTGTACTTACTGCGGATAGACTGTTCAGACCTCCATAATATCACCTGTTAACACTGCTGCAGGCATGACTTGGCTCCTTACAGGTGTTGCTGCATCCAAGCTTTGCTCTAATGCAAACTGTCTAGACTCTCCTGTGGATGTAAAATTGTAGTTGAATCTCCATAAAATTAGCATATTGTCAAAAAGGGTATTTCAGTCATTCAACTGAAAAATGTAAGCTCATAGAGATTTATCACACACATTAATAATGTGTGTTGTAAGCACTTCTTTCAGTTAATTATGTCTACAGCCAATAAAAATCCCAAACTCATATTTCTCAAAAAGTGGTATTACATCACGTCAACAAAAAGTATTTTAATATAGAAACGTCAGCTTGCTGAAAAGTATATCCATTTAATGCAGAGTAGATGCAGAGTAGATGCACTCTGACGTTTTAGGGAAAGTAGGGTTCCTTTAAAGCAGAGTTCAGCTTGTCTAAATTACTGAGTCTGGTGTGTCGCATTTTGCTTTTGACGATACTTCAGACTCTGCTGGGTTTTGTTCAGGGGAATTTGTTGGGCATTCAAGCACAGTAACACCAGGGTCATTAAAAGTAGGTATTGGTGGTTTTGACGGTGTAGCCAGATGCCAATTTCTGCTGATAAAAAGCAGCATGATAAAAAGCAGCATCATAAAAAAAGTTTGTCAACAGATGAAAGCTGTAAAACTTCCCTGGTAAACCACAGCACTGATTTCGGACTTAATAAAATCCAGTGGGTCAACACCGGGAAACACCAGATTGAGGAAGCTTCCTCAGGGACTTTTATTTTTGTCTTCACTTTTTCTTTGGACTCTGGGAACTTGATTGTCTTACTGAAATGCAGAATTTCACTTTCTTTGAAAAGATTAATTGTGGGCCACTGGGCATTTGTCCGCTCCGGTTTCTGAAGTCACTGCTGCTTCAGGAGTGGCTGAACACAATGATTGACTAACCACAGGCAAAACCTTGAAACTCTTAGCCAAACTCTCCGATGCAGTTTACATCACAAATCTCTCATATCAGTGTTGTTTCCATCTTACTTTTTCCCCTCCACTAAACTTGCAGTTAACTAGATAAAACTTATTGTTTTTTTAATTCAAAACAGAATAGTTATCAGAGTAATTCAATTGTTTCTGTTAATGTTACAAGAAAATCATGTATGAGTGTGCATGAATTTTGATGTTCGTTATTGATGAATACATGTAAATCTTTTTATTAAGGCTACACACAACAATTCCTCCTTTTTTTAGAATATAGTTTTATTTATAATTTATAATCGGCAGATACAAAAAACTCTTTAACTGTATCCAAAATGTGCAATAAATCATTGATTTTTTTTTCTCCAAAAGAAAATACAAAAAGACTATCTACTTTGAAAAGTTGACAACCAATGTAAACTGGAGTGAACTGGCAATTCTACAGAGGCTCTACTAATTAATACTAATTCTCTTTTAACCGACTACAGTCATTAACAAATTGCAAGTTTTGCTTTGCTCTCCCAAGATGACAACCGAGTCATTATGTGTACATACATCTAGAGTGGCAACATTCTAGTTCCACCATTGTTAAATACAAGAAAGGCAATAATATCCAAAAGCAGCACGAATGTGTAGAACACATTAAAGGAATTTTCAAAATTGTACCAACATGATAATGTGAGGAAAAGAAAAGGGAAGGTTTTGTCCAAACATGATGTCGTAAACAATTACCTTCAATGACTGAGATGCACAAAGGAAAAAGGAGAAAAAGAAAGAAACTGGAGTATGTTAAGTGCTTAACAGCTGTTACTCATTCAAATCAGCAGTCTGAACAATCGTCAAATCTCTGGAATCGAACAATGAAGGCTTTAATGCACAAGCATACTGTCTGAAAAGGATTTGCGTGTCGAAATCAAATGATTATTTCAAAATTAAAATGGAATTATAATTAAGATGGATTAAAAACTCTATAAGAAAAAGAGACTAACATTTTGTCTTCACATTTTGACTGAAAAACATCCTCATACACAAAAGGGTAAAAAAAAAATGTACATCCACATTCTCGCTATGATCCCATATCTTAACAGCCAATTAGGAACAGCTTTGAAATTATGCTGGCATGTGACCCCCTTAAATCACACAGATATGACCCCCCCCACAAAACAACAACAAAAAAAAAACAATTTTACTCTTACAGTTATATGAATACATCATGACAAATCTGTGACTTTTCTTTATAAATCACCATCTGAGGGAAAACTTGAGGCAAAGAGAGGTTCAATGAATGTTCAAGTGCAAATTATGTGTCATTGTAGTCCTTATGTTCCCCATGCTTTCAGAAATGGGTCTGCAGGCAGATAACAGGATACCTCAAACAAGCGTACATTCCTTTTGTACGGCCCCATCCCCCAGATGGCAAATGTCACAAACGACAACAAAAAACATCTCTATACAGCCAAAACACATCTTAAATCCTTCATTCCTATACAACTCAAAGCTTTAAAACTAAGTGTTTAAACATGCAAACACCGTTCAAAGATCCTATCTAGTTTCCACTGTGCTTCCTCAGACAAAGTCTCCAGCTAACTACAACTAAAACTATACCCTAAAGACCTACCAAAGTTGCCAAAGACATTTTGCAATACTTTTAAGGACACTGATGTCAAAAAAATGATGACCACTCATATTGTGAGGAGACAATTCCCTGTCAATTATCCAAATAAAGCACTTGCGTAGCATACTGTGTGCTCTTCCCTTTACTCTGACGCCATCAGCTCATTATAACTTGTGGTAGTGCAGCTCTGCAAGGACAGACTCAAGACAATATGAAAAACTGCAAAAAATAAAATAAAATAAAATTTAAAAATAAAACTCTTCAAAATCTTAAGAACACCAATGATGGCATGCAGGTTTGGTTTAACTTTTATCACATGCCAAGACCCTGACATCCCTTCCAAGGTGGAGAAGACTCCTTAACCAATGTTTCCCAAATCTGTATTTCCCAAAAGCCTGCATCTTTCCTACGTCCGTATCTTCTTTCCAGCTTTATGTTACCACTAGTACTACAACTAGATTAGAGATGCACCGAGAAGTCAGTAAATCCCTCGATATTCTGGTACTGGTAACTAAATTGCCAGAAACGCAAATATATATATATGTTTTTTTTTTGTTTTTTTTCTGATCAGCTAAAATATAACCAAGCTTAACCAGATGGTGTTAAGCACATCGGTGTGGAAGTCATTGCTGATGGAAAAAAGTGTTAAAAACAGAAGCAACAGGAAGCACAGAGATGTTATTGGTTGTTTAACAGGAAACGGTTTTAAAACATGTCAAACCATGTCAGCGGTTCACTGAAAACCAGAGAAAGCAACAGGATGGCTGAATAGAATACAGCAAAACTGCTTTAACTTTTGTTTTTTTTGTTTTTTGCTTCTGTCTGCCATGGAACATGTTGAATCTATAAATGATTGAAGCCTTTCAGAATTCCAAAGATCCTACATTGTCTAGATACAGACCGTTATGCTACCTGTGCTCATTTCTACTAACATGCTAAAGGCAATTTAAACTTCGACACAATAATGCATTTTAAAATTATTAGTAAAGCCCTGTTGTACAAAGATGATTCTCTTTCACAATCACAATGTGGTATCACTCCTTTTACTAAAAAAAAATTACTTATTACCCCTCATAGCAGGAAAGCTAGGGGGCCGGAGGGAAGTGTTTGAAAGCTGTTCTTACATTTTCCTTTATTTTTGTACTTAAAAGATAAATAATCTCCATCAGCAGACAAAAGCTTTCGAAAAACCACCAATTGGAAATTGATTATTCTCGGTGCATCTCTAAAGGTAACTTGGACAAGATTTCACATGAGATGTCTTTTAGTTGCAGAATGTATGAGGGCAAGGCTTTCAGACTCCCCAAGGTAAATGCAATTGTGCATTGAATAACCAACCTCTGATACCAAATTGTTTTATCCCTGTTCAACACCTTATACCATGTAGTCTGACAATCTTAAAGGCTTTACTACATGCAGACAACACAAGCATTAGTGAAAAACTTAAACCTGCAGTGGAAATTTTGCAAGATTTCAAATGCAGAATTGTCATTATAATAATTTTTTTAGTCCATACATTTAGTTGATGCCTTTTCTAGAAAAAAAGCACCTGCATCCAGCATTAGAAGTACCATTAGGCTTGAAAAATGCATAATGACAAAATGCAGCCTTATAACTTTAAAGCTAATTCTCAGCCCCAGCTATTGAAAGCATCCTAGTGGCTGACAAAATCTGGACATCTTTTGCTGTTCAGCTTTACAGTTTGCCCTTGGCTTAGTACTTTAGTTAGCTTAAGAATTTCTGACACATAATAATGTCATTTATTATCTATGTTTATATATCAAACTTTAACATCATTATTTTAAATGCAAAGTTTCACTATCCAAAATCTTAAGTTGCAATTTGATCAAGACTAAAGAGGTAAAGACATTTCAACATCTAGAAAACTGATAGGCAAAAGATGTGCAAAAGTAGTCAGCCTGTAGAGATGAAAAACCAATTGTAGCAAACATTCATTTCTGTAATGTACAATCCAGTTGATAATGCAGCACATTTTCAATTGAAAGAGGAACCTTATTTTTCCCAACTTGCTCTACTTTACTGCAGATAATTAAGAAACTTCTGCTCCTTGTTCACAGCCAGACAGCATACATCCATCACAACTGTCAAATGTCTGATCTTCATTGTTTCCAACTAAGCTTACTTTGCTTTTCACCTCATCCACATTTTTGCAATAGATTAAGTATTACCAAATGCAGAACCTTCTGAACACCAGAAAAATAAAACCTCACAGAAGAGTGGAATGGACAAGACAGGGTCACTTAAACATAAATCAGGAGCTACCAGAACCAGTCGTCTCAAACTGTGGTTGTCTGTAAACCTTGTGTAAAAATCTTAACTGAACACAAAAGTGCAAACTGCTACCACTGCCCTGTCCTCAGTAGTGCTTCTCCTGTAGGTAATCTTTCATCTTGTTGGGTAAGGGCAGTTTCTGGATGAGGTCTATCCTTGTGTATTGCCTAATGACAAAGCGGCAAAGATACTGGAGGGACCGCACTTGCATAAACCGAGATACTGGGTTGGTTAGTCTGACTGGGTAGGTTGCAGACCCTGGAAGGCGAGACCTGGAGTAACAAAAGGCTCCGTTTTCTGAGTCTCTGATGGAGTGTTCAATTAAATCAACGATTGACGTGTGACCCTCGACATCAGGCTGCTCATAAAAGCTGAAGCGTCCGTTGGAGTGTTCGATGCGTGTGTGAAGGGTTTTGCTCTGCGATCGGAAGCTAAGGCTGAGCAGGTATCTGTCATCTGAGCTGTCTCTGACCAGGAACGAACCATCAGCCAAGTTGATCAGCTTCTCCTCCGCCTCCCAACGTGTGATTGGACCCCAGTACCAGCCCTGCCTTGCAAGCTTCTTAAGCTCCTCGGTCAGACTGGTCACGACCATCGGTCCGCTGCTCTGGACTGAATCGTACACTCGACTGACCCCAGGAGCTGAATTTGGGTCAAAGTTGAGGTGGTGTCTTACCCTCTCAGCTACCTGGCTGTCTGTAGAGCTGAAGCTGGAAAAAGTCCTAGGGATGTGTCCATTACTTGTCATGGGTGGCAGAAGGGGGCTGAGGGGAGGTGGGACATCCACCCGAGAGCTTTGGAGCACCACACCAGCAGAACCTAAAAGAATACTATTAACTGAGGTTTCCATAAAGAGGTCCGCAGGCATCCCATTAACCAGTTCATGATCCTCCTGTCCCTGCTCTGTGTGGAAGGACCTGCTGTCTGCCTCTGTCACAACCTCCATGGGAGTAGAACTGTCTAGGCAAAAGGAGTGGGACCCTTCTGGGTACATTCCATCATCTGAAGGCATTGTGTACTGGATATAGTCCTGGGGCGTCAACCCCAGCACCACAGGCACATCATTTTCATCGATGTTTAGATGCAGCTCACCATTTTGTGGTTGTTGGAGGTACTTTATGGACTCTGCTTGGTCCTGAAAGAGCCCTTCCATCTGGAAGTTATGAAATTCTTTATGAACACCATTTAAGGTGGGACTCGGGCAAGGAGAGTGGACCATGGCTTTAACCTTTACCTCCATCTTGATACATGCCTCGTCAGAGTTGACCGGTCGCAGAGGCCACGGCGAGGGGCTGTAATGGTGACTCCGCAAGGATGCAGATCTGAGGGGTCTCTGGGCTTTTACTTCATTGCTGATGGGCACAGAAGATGATGAAAAGTTGTCATCGTCATCTGCCGAACACAAAGCTGAAGAGACAGCTTTTGCTTTTGCCTTTTGTTTGGCAGACAGCCTCCTCTTTAACGAACCCATTAGGCCCTCACTTTTAGATCGACTTTTATTTTGGCCTCCTTTCTCGTCCTCACAACCAAGATCACACCCTGAAAGGTCTTTGGTGTAGCAGCCTCCAAAAAGCGATTCCTCTTTTGAAAACTCTGTTGTCACTGAAGGCTGCTGGAGCATGACAAAGTCACCCTCCTCTTTGGCCTTTATGTTGAGGGACTTGCGGATCGTCTTAAGGCTTATCTTCTTCATTCTGACAGGCCCTCCAATGTGGGGGCATGGGACGGCTCTCCTGATATCCTGATGAAAGCACTATCCACAATGTCCTTCCATCAGGCCACATGAAACAAGTCATCCATACAGTGGATCCAAAACTCCCTGAAGACAGAAATAGACACATCTTAGTCGCCTTAATAATAATAGAATCCAAAATAATACATTTTCTGGTTAAATTTTTTTGTTTGTTTTATAATTAACAAAAGGAATACCATTTCAAAGTTCTCAAAAACAAGATTGGAGCACTCACATAATTTCCCTAATGTGACAGAGATACTTTGCTACGTAAGATAAAGAATACTTCTATCCATATCATATTTAAACTATTGGCAATAAAGTCTATGTAGTTGAGATAAAGATAAATATTTTTTTCCCCCCCAACTATTATTGTAAAGGATACATTCACTATTAAGGGGTTAGATTTGATGCAACACAGATCAGATTACCCCTCAAAAACAAGGTTGATCACAAATAAATTATAGAAGGTGAGATGATAAATAGTCAGCATTGTAAGGTTATAAAGGCAAAGAGTAAAGGGAGACAAATACGGTATTTCACTCTAGTCACACTGTGTGGTTTTCCAACATTACACAACCTTACTGCCTGGTATTTTTAGATACTGTCCCTCAGTGGGGACATTCAGATGTATCACCAGCAAAGTTACAGGAATGTGAAAACATGTTGATTTACACAAAACAAAAAGTACAAAGGCAAAAGTTAATTATGAAAATTATTAAAAGGCTTTCAGTAGGGGTGCACCAATTGCAGTTTTCTGGCCAAACACCGATCTTAAAAAAGATGTACCTGTTGATTCTAAATCAGATTCTCTTTTTCTATAACAGACAGTGTCAGAAGGGGTGCCGATAAGACTTAAAAATACAATTATACTTTTGTTTATATATATATATATATATATATATATATATATCACATACACTTTTGATCATTTCCCCCCCTTGATTTCTTTTCTTAAAAATAAATTATAAATTAATGACAATATTTTAATAATATTACTTTTATTTTAAATTCAAAATCATTTAAAATCAAATAAATAGAAGCTGTTAATCAAAAGTACAAGTGTGGACCGAAGAGGAGAAGCAGGCACCTAGAAGGCAGGCCCTTGGTGAGCTGGCAAACTATGAAAACCCAGCACTAATGTACCCAAGAGTACATTAGTAAAAATAACAAATCCAGATTTTCCCAAAAAAATATATTCAAAAATACAAAATATGATTAATGGATGAAATTGATTTATTGCCCAGCCCTACTGTCAGATGTTACAAGATCACAATTCACCTTCAATGTTCCAATATTATTTTATTAAAAAACCAATAACAAAATCCTTGAAACAATGCAAACATCTTTTAACTGCATGAGGTAGTACTCTAAAATATAAATGAAAAGCTTAGAGAATTGTTGCCCGAACCACTAAATGATCTAAACTTTCATGTTTTACAGGAAAAAATGATGGAAGAGAGCTGATTTTCAGATCTGTGCAGAGGTAGATAAAATGTGTGAACAAAATGCAAGCAACGACCGATCACTGATCACTCAAAATTAAGAAAATTGGGGCAATCGAAGCATGAACGACTCCAATCCCAGAATTTTGATTTTTTTTACCCTGCCTGCATTGACATTCTGTTATTATTAAAAACATGATATGAATCAATAAAAACAGGACATTTTTTTCTTAAAATCAAAGTCTGACCGCAAAAGAGAAGGTGGGGGTTGCAATATACCATTTGCTAAAATAAGGAGGCAGCATCCTAATAAGAAAATGTTATCTATTTTAAAAGACAGAAAATGCGTGGATCTAGTTAGAGAAGATTTGTTTGCAGAAACAATCACAGAAACTGCCCAATTATGTACACAAAATGAAATCTGCTGTAGCCTTTCTGAAAGTATATTTGGCACATTTCCTACATTACCATATAAAAGTCAACTTTAGATACAAACAACTAATTAAAGAGTTAAAGATGAAAAGATCAGGTTATCCACAGGGAGTGGGGAAGACTAACAATGCACAAAGCCACAAAACAAGCATTTATGGTAAGAGCTGCTAAAACCCTCGCACAAAAAAGGAGAAGCAGCATTCAGCACCTATGCACCAAAAATCTGGAACAAACTTCCAGAAAACTGTAAAACAACTGAAACACTGACTTCCTTTAAATCTCAACTAAAAACATATCTGTTTAGAATTGTATTTGAAACATAATATGGATAATATTGTTTATTCTATGGTGCGTGACTTCGTGTTTTGTGTTTAGCACTTTGAAATGCCTTGCTGCTGAAATGTGCTATACAAATAACAATTGATTTGATTACCTATCTGAACAGTAATGCAAAAACTTAGAGGGGGCTTAGATTGAGTAATTACGCCAGAGAGTTAAAAAAAATCCTACTATGGCACTTTTGCTGGAAGAATTGGCAGAAATCCCCATAAATAGAAACAACTACATCACAACTAGTAACTATTTTATCTTCAGTTGTTACAAAAATGCTAGATATATCAAAAATAACAAAAGAAATGTGATGCCTTGATATTGACCTATAACACTTTAAGAAGCTCCTATTCTTTTTAACACTCAGCAAATCATCAAAACAATGCTCCTTTATGATGCCATTTACAACTGTCCTTAAGAGCATTTGACTGAGAAGTTGATTGTATGAGCTCAACAGACTAGCACTTCCACCAGATGTTTAGACACCCCAAAATGGCTGCCACAGGACATTCAAGGACTCCTCAAACAAGCATGAAAGAATCAAAGCAAACACTCCACATATGTTTTTGATGAGGTAATAAAATTATACATTTATACTTTTGTGTTTATGTATAGGATTAGTTTGTTTAGACATAAATATAATAACAATGTAGTCTTACTTAAACGTTAAAATAAATGCCATCCATCATGTTTCACTTTTCTAATCAGATTACCTGGATTCAGCAATAAAATATTACAATCTGTACATGTATAGTTCCAAAAAGAACTCTTTAGTTATTAGAAATTTTAAATCATTAAATATTGTAGACACTAAATAATATGGTAAATGGGGTATGTATATATAAATTTTCATTTGGCATTTATTTAGTGCCATTCGCCGTATTATGTAATATCTACAATATTTGACGATTCAAAAATAATTCATTATATATAACATTCTCCAAAATGGCATTTGTGGTATTATTTAGTATTAGTATATATATATTTAGAATTTTGGGAAATTCTGTTGAAAATTGTTCTAGGTTCTGATAACATGCTAATTGTTCTATGGGTGGTTATGCTGCTGATATTTACCTTCAGACTCCACCCCATCTACATATATATTTACCTTGCATCATGCTAACATGGCTCGACAGTAAAACATTTCAGTCTTTCAGAAAATATTTCCCAAATCATGTGAAAGTTGAATTGGGGAAACTGAATGTTTTTTTCAACATTCAGAGTCGTTTTTGTAAAACAGGACCACGTGACGCTCTGAAACAGCCGTTTGAAAATCAAGACAGCTGCAATCTGATTACTCACCATTATCTGCAGGAAAATGGTGACTCAGATGGGTCAAATTCCACTTCCACCACCTTTTATTTACTGTTGAAATGAGCAAAAGCATGTTGATATGCAAAGGTCTGCCGATATACCTCACAAATGAAAGGCACTATGAAAAAAAAACAAAGCATCTTCGGATATGCAAAAGTCATAAACGCCTTGTGCTAAACACTAAAATTAACCAGGTATGCCCTGACCTGGAAAGGCCTACGGACACAAGAGCATGCTTGGAGGTTAGCTACGTTTGTTAGCATTCTACTTATATGCTTTAAATGTGAATACTCCAAATCCCTTCAGTCGCTTTTTAATTTAAAGATAGAAATATCCAGGAGAGACGCCCATTATGTCATCAATGTTAAGACTGCGTGGAAGCCAACACAAAACTGCTGTTAGCAGACCTGTGAAAAGTATTTTTTATACGTTCAAACTTGTCTAAGGAATAATACAACATTGTCTCTTACCTTGTCGCTTCCAGCTTTTTTTTGTCGTAAGCAGCGTGTTAATGTTTAGTTATCTGTCAGTGAAAACACTCTGGGAAAAGATATGGTCCTTGGCGATTGTTGGCTAACGTTAGCGTAGCTACTGCTACCTTACTACCTAAGTCAGTTAGCTTTGTTAGCGTTTTATGTCGAAAACATCACCGCCACCGTCCCTTTAGTTCACTTCTGTGGCAAAACAAAGCACAAAAACACAAACATGGACGGACTTTGTAATTGTCTTCACACACGGGAACTATTAGCGGCTAAAAACGACATAATTTAGGGTACATCTTTCAACCTAGGTCAGCTAACTCTTTGTAGCTCACGGCCTCTTCCTTTCTTCCTTTGTTGCCTGTTGAATTGTGGGAGCTGAATCGGTGTGTGTTCACATGCAGCGAATCAAAAGGCAGCAATCACCACATCCTGCAGGCAGGCGCACTGAAAACGTCACTCCCATAATAATAATAATAATAATAATAATAATAATAATAATAATAATAATAATAATAATAATAATAATAATAATAATAATTTTATTTGTATTCTATTAGTTGGGTTCAAGATATAATTCTCATTTGGCCTATCTTTATTCATGACGTGTCAGTAAAAAGAACAAAACTTCAATCAGCATCAACCAGCTTCAAATAATAATCTTTTCTGTCATATGTTTTTAAATAATTATAAATATACTCAGACCAGTTACCACTCAAAATCAATTAACAATCTAATTTAATCAATTCAATAAAGTCACTTTTTGTGTGAAAGTATGAAACAAACTTATCTGGTACTAGATATAAAAAGCATTTGAGGGCCAGCAATCTGCTTGGACAATAAACAGAGGATGTGACTTATGGGTTCATCTTTCTAACACCTACAGCACAGTCTTCATTAATATTCCCAGTCAACTCAATCAGACCTTGAGACATGATTGGAATAACTCACTTGACACAATCAGGTGACATGTTTGGGTCATTAAGTGACAATTAGTCAAAGACTGAAAGGAAGGGATTGTATGCCCAGTGACTCCTGGGATTTTGGCAGCCAGGCATGCAGCGTGAATAGCCCTATTGTTTGTTCTGACTGTATCATATCAACCTAATACCTCAACATATGTTTTGAAATGAATAGGGTTTAAGATGAGTGGTGAAACTTCTTTAAGTATATGAAATGGTTAAAAAAAATTAAAAAGTAGCCATCAAAGACAATACGCAAGTAAGAATAAACATTATTCTGTGAAATAGGTCAGTTAAGTATTGAGTGGCTGGAAATAAAATCTGATTGAATATTCTACAGCGATATCATCAAATGAACAAATGACGACTTTTAACAGCATTGTGACTGTTTGAAGACTTAATATGCACAACCATAAGGACATCTATTTTCCAATTACACTGTGATTATTTGAGACTTGTAGAAGAAATCTTTCACTTTATTGTGTTCCTTGATGAGAAACCAAAGGAGGCAAGCGCTCTGCCCTGTATGTCTATTGTCATTCATAAAGCATGGATAAACTTGATTTGATCAAATTTTATTTTAATCTTGGAATGAATCCCAGTGATGTCTACCAACCCCATGTGGTTAAGCACAGTATCATCATTAGCTGAAGACACTTGATTTGTCTGTCTAAAATGCACAGCTTGAAACGCAAACAATGTTCAGACATTGAGCAAGCTGCTCTTCATGATGGCTTGATTTCATCTTAAAAGTGTCTGCCAATCAGTTGTGATGTTTTGGCCACAGCTTGATAACTCAATTCCCATGTCATAGTGTTTTTCCCACTGATGTCACCAGGGGAGCTCTGTACAAAGACAAACACAAGCACAGCATGGAGTGGAGTGGAGACAGAAGTATGGGATGAAAGCTTTCCAAAAAATAATTTAAGCCCCAACAAGTGTTTATCCGCTGAAACTGAGACCTCTCTATGTTCCGAATCCTCTCAAATCAGACTGTTAATGGATACAAACTAAGACAGGGTTTTCATCACTTGCCTACAAAGGGAAACAAATTTATTAGTGGTGATCAACATTTCTGTGTGTATGCCTCACGGGGGGTTAGCTCGAACCTTTGTTTCATGAATTTGTTTCAAATATTTTTTATTCATGAATTTGTTTCAAATATTTTTTATTAAATAAATGTGTTTTATTTTATAACATACTGTTTATAGATTAGATTAAAAGTAATGACTGTTTACTACTATATTATAATGGTGTTATCTTACACAAATATAATTTATTCTGATTCCTTTTGATAGACCAGCATTAAGTGGTCTCTGAGTGCTGTGGATGTGTTTGTGGATTCTTTGTGAAATCAAGAAAATTACAGACACCTCCGAGCATCCTCTTTCCGAGAACGCCATATAACAAGAGTCTTCAGTCAGAGGCTTCTTCAGATTCACTGTAATATTGACTGCTTCATTTATTTTCCCTCTTGGATTAATCAAATATTTTTTTAATTTAATTTGAATTTAATTGAATGAAAGTGATACATGGCTTACAATAGCCTTTACAACTAACTGTTTAGAAAAAAAATATTGATCTCAAAATTTATCTGTCAAAACAAACCTAAATTTGTAACACATCTTCAAAATGTATATTCATAGATATTATTTAAGATTGAGCTGTTTTGTAAAGAAGAATGGGTATAAATTTTAGTTTTTGCCCCAATGGATAAGAATGACTCTGACTTTTTCTTCTAAGAGATTGGTTTTAAAATTTGACTTTTTGCAATAGTACAATTTTATTTGAAAACAAAGTATGAAACAAATTCTCCCTAAAAGCAGCTTCTTCTTTCTGAATCATACTAAATATACAATGCAATAATGATTCCAAATATGTGTTGATTTTTTGTGAACTGAAGTGTGGAGTCCATGCTGAGGCAACAAAAATGTCAAAAAGCACGTCGGCTTAGGCGATATTAAGTGGTGTCGATTTTATTTCATAGCTTATTGAATGCAACTAGGTGATCTTCAAGATTTTATTTTACAGTCTTATTCCTCTACAGCCTGCAGCCTTTATTCAGGAAGGTCTCTTAAATTTGCACTCACAAAACCTCAAGATGGCTCTCTAACGATCTGCAAGTGTTTCACACAAAGGCAAAACTTGAACTCTGAAATGAAACATTGGTTCCCTAATTAGTGTCACCATTGTTTTAGAAGTGGAATGTGTTTACTGCTGCCGGGCTAATTTGGTCCATATCCCGAACATTACATTGTTTTTTCCACGCTGTCAAGTGCATGGCAGTCCTTCCCCAACCTGCTTAGTAGCTGTGCACAGACAGGTTCCATGCAGACTCTAATTACCAGGCCCTATTAGGGTTGATCAAACTGCCTCTTCTTGATGTGTCGGTGCAGGAAGGGTGGGCTTGTGAAGGGGGGGGGAGAAAAAGGGGCTCCAGCTATTAGATATAGAACCAAGGACACTGAGAAGAACAGAATGCAGTGTTTGAACAAGCTAAATTAGACCTGACAAACAAACTTTAGTGTGGTTGATATTTCTTAGTGGAGCGTAAAAAGGAAGTAAATATGCAGTTGTGGGAATAACCAAGCCTTTCTTATGATGACAGGGTAAACAGATCAAACTGTTTCTAATATCTGGACTGCTTAAACTTTGATTTAAAAAAAATGTCTGTAAAGGGATTTATGACAGCATATGAGGGCCTTAAAATGCATTTTCACCCCAAAATTGACAGAATATTCTGAATAGCAAGTCAAGATGAACAGCCTACACAAAGATTGGGCCACACCGTTTAATGAGATACCTCTCCATGTGAGGAAGCTCCTAGTGTTTCATCTTAATTTCAAATGAGCGCTGCATCAGCCATAAATTATTTGCACAATATCTCTGCGCTTGCTTCAGCTTAGCTGAGGCCTTTGACTCGACTACTTTGCAGGTGGGAGGTTTGTCGGAGTGTAGCTATTGTTGGAGGATGTGGACCTGTACACCAATCTTCATTTCCTCAGCACTGCAGAGTGTTAAGACTGGTAATGCAGGCATGTCAAGTATGTGGCTTGCTTTCAAAACAGAAGTTTGTAAAATGACTCTCTGGATGTGCTTTATTATTTATGACACAAGTTGTTGAACAGGTAGTTACATGTTTCATCTTTACATCACTCTCTTTGGGAGATGTTATTTTATTACCATGTAACATTAAAATCTGAATGGCTGAAAACATTTTATAGTAAAAAGACTTTTGCAATAATGATCACATTTTAGCTCCTTTCAACAATAAAATAAATGAATAAAATTGATATCAGAAGGTGCATACCTTTTATTTGTGCATAGATTTTTAACCACTATTTCTTGAAAAGAAATCATAATATTTAAAAGTTAAAAGACATTTAATGAATTGTTAAATTTCAGTATTTTTTGTAATTGGGCTTAAAGAAATAAAATTGTAAAATTGTAACTAATTAATAAGTATATTCTTCCATCTGGTTTCTGCTTCCATTTAAAAAAGCATAGAGTGATCTCTATATGTACTTATGAAGCGTCTCAGCAGGCGGTGTACACTGTGAACAGGTTTCTAGTCCATCAGAAGGCAGTGCTGAGAATTAAAGAACTAACGGTTAATCTTGTAACTTTTACTGTTGCTAAACTAGTCAAATTCGGATACAAGCCTGCATTGTTGTATTTCAATCCAGAAACTGCCGTAGCTGCTCCAGAGAAAGCTAAAGCTAAATGCAAACTTTTTAAAATAATTTCCTGAAGGTTGCTTGTGAACATATCACACAAAACTAACAAATGCCATTAATTTGCAGCAAACATAAAGATTAAGAAGCCCTCTTTGTTAATAACTTTGTTGTCAGTATTAGTGCTATCACTAAAGTAGTTAGCAAAAGCTTCTTTTTTTAATGCTCCAACACAAAAACTATTTCCTACAAGTCTTAAAATGTTTTAACTTTTATTATGCTGACATATTTCTTTTGAAAATAACACATGTCAGATTTCCAAAATTATTGCTTTCTCCTGGGCACTATACACAACCAATGGAAATATATGTTTTCTCTTTTTTTTAAATTTACCAAAATTAATGTGCTAATACTGTTAGGATAATTACTGAATACCAAATTGAAAAATTGTAATGACTAACATTTAATGGGTGTAATGACTCTTTTTGTGCTATGCCTCATTTTTAATATTTCTTAGAAAAGAATATCAGAGAGAAGACTAACAATGGAGAAGTATTTATCTTTGAGAAGGACAGTATGACCCAAAGGTTGAGCATAGGGAAGAGAAAATGAAGGATTTTTTTTTCTAAACTAATCTCTGCTAATTTTTATATTGCTCCTTTAGCATCTGTGTCCTGGAGATTTTTTATTTTATTTTTCTCTGCATTTGTATTTTTTTTATATAAAA